TGCTGCAGCAATTCGGGGTCTTTTATTATTCCAGACGAATTTTTGGAGAGTTCGTTCTAGATCTAAGAAGTATGCCGTTGGTATTTTAATTGGAAGTGCATTGAATTTATAGATTGCTTTGGGTAGTATGGACATTTTAATGATGTTGATTCTACCAATCCATGAACACCGTATGTTCTTCCATCTGTTTATGTCTTCCTCTATATCTTTTTTCAAAGTCCTGTAATTTTCTGAGTAGAGGTCTTTTACCTCTTTAGTTAAGTTTATTCCTAGGTAGCTTAATTTTTTTGGTGCGATGGTAAACGGGATTGTTTTTATAGTCTCTCTTTCTGAAAGTTCACTATTGGTGTATAGAAATGCCTCAGATTTCTTGGGGTTAATTTTGTATCCTGCTACATTGCCAAATTCATGTGTTAAGTCTAGTAGCTTTTTGATGGAGTCTCTAGGGTTTTGTATGTATAATATCATGTCGTCTGCAAATAAGGACAGTTTTACTTCCTCTTTTCCAATTTGGATGCCTTTTATTTCTTCTTCTTGCCTAATTGCAATGGCTAACACTTCTAGTACTATGTTGAACAGGAGTGGTGAGAGGGGGCATCCCTGTCTTGTTCCTGTCAGTTCTCATTCTTGATAACTGCTCTCAGGGGAATAAGCCTTCTGAGACCAAAAGGCATCAGCAGGGGAGTCAGACTCTCCTGGTCCTGGGTGGCCTTCCTCCCAGCCCTTCCCAATTTCCTGGCATCTGCTGGCTCTGTGGTGTCTGATCTTTACAAATATGCAGGATCTACCTGACCATTTTCCTCCCACGGTTAGACTTTTCTAAAAGAACGTTGCCAGATGACTAGGAGAAACAATAATGAAAATAAAATATAAAAGGATAAAACAAATTTTCAGGGCATGAAGTCCAAGAACCTAATAAAACTTAAAGACTATGGACTCTCTGGCAGAACCCGTCAGACAACACTGACGGTGGTCCCTTCCTGCCACCCTCTCCAAGGAGGGTCTCTGGTCTCCAGCTCTGCTCTGTCTTAGGCCCTCACCCACCTTGTCAGATCGCATGCCCTTCACAAAGCACCCACCACACATTGGCCACCTTTACACGCACTAAGGGCAATGAGTCGGTTCTGTACCCTCTTCATCTCTTGTGCTGCATTGTCCATGCCATCTGTCTCTAAACATGACATCTACCACACACACGAGCAACACACTCAAGGGGCAGACTTGGAGAGCACCAAAGCCCCATTGAAGCAAGCCCTGCTCCATAAGGGCATCTCCTGAACAGTAGCTCTTCCACTATAGTCGTAGCTAGTCTACACAGCCAATTGGCCAGGGGTAAATCCCTCCCAGTGATGCCAGAAGAGGAGGTGCTACCTTGTAGACCTTCTTCTCAGCTGCTTCTAACCCCAAGTCTCCAGCTTCCTGCTGGTCACTTTCACTCAAATCTCCCACCACTGCTTTTTTTTAAAAAATATTATAATTGATTTCAGAGAGGGAGAGAGAGATAGAAACATCAATGATGATAGAGAATCATTGATTGGCTGCCTCCTGCACACCTCCCACTGGGGATCAAGCCCGCAACCCAGGCATATGCCCTTGACCGGAATCAAACCCGTGACCCTTGAGTCAGCAGGCCGACGCTCTATCCACTGAGCCAAGCCGGCTAGAGCCCACCACTGCTTTTAATCCACACAGTCACCAAACCAAAGTTCTCATCTCCCCTTCCAACCTCAGTTAGCACTGCTCCCCAATGTCCTTCTCCTTGAATCCCCCCATAACTTTCCCGCTCAGCAGGCTCGGGCATGTAAGGCTTGTCTGTCACTCACACCTCTCTCACCTCTGCTCTGCTCAGAAACTACACGCTGCTTCCTTTTTGTCTTCAGAAAGTACCTCTTCTCTGTCCTTCCTCTTTTCCGTTCACCCCTCCTGTCATCCGCCTGGCCTTCAACGCTCACCCCAAGGCCACCACGCCCTTCCTGAGTCCCAGCGGGCTGTAGATGGCACCTTCTTCCTTGAACAACACTTCAGCATCTCTCTCCCCTCTCTAAGTGGGTCAATGGCTCTCTAGTCCTTCGGTTCATGTGCACCACCAGTGCTTACTGAATGCCTACTGTGTGCAAACATGGCCCCAGCCTAGCTCCATGTGCACAAGCAGCCATTAAATTCACTGCTTCCTAATCCAACGCCCTGTGTCGGTCACAGGGTCACACGTATTCCCACCACACAGGAACCTCGCTGTTCTTAAAAGGTACTCCCTTCACTCCCGCTTCTATCCAAAGCCACATCTCCTAAGCCCAGTTCCAATTCCATGCCTCCCCGGCTATACCTTTTAATATTAGTACACTTCTTCTCTGAAATCCCTCTGCCCTTATAGAGCTCCCTATTCTCCTGAATTTTCCCATCTCCACAAATAGATCTCAAGATAGAGACCATGTTTAAGTTGAAGACACAGCATGTGCTAATGCATAAAGGTCGTGTTTCTGGGCCCACAGGAAGTTTGGTGCCCAGAGTGCTGGACCAGGTCCTCCTGGGGAGTGCACACTGGCCATGGCTCTTGTCCTGTGTCCCAGAGGCAGATGTCCAACAGGGTGGAGGGAGGGGCTAGGGCCGAAGGCAGAGTTAGGGGTCTTGTGACAGTCTGGGGCTGAAGGCATCCCTCTAAGTTCAGTGGGATGGCTGTGGGGTCTGTGTAGGACTCAGAATTGATAGCTTGGAGGAGAAGCAGGCTGTAACCTAGAATAATTCCCTGACATCTGACATCCTTCATTGGAGAG